TGCTCGGCTTGAGGAGTGTTGGTGGTATGGGCTGCCATGGCTTCTCAGATTGGATCGAGCGTGTGTTAACACCTTGTGCTCTGATACCATATAAGGGTTGAAGAAGAGATTTTGTAATTGTGTAAAGCGGCACACTTTCATATTATATTGCTAGAGTTTATATACAAACATTGGAGTTAGGGATGGAACCCTAATGAAACAAAGGAAAGCTACAATCGTGGGATTTGATATTATCTCCAGATATACATATTGCTTTATAAATTCTACTAGTGGGGAGGAGGTGGTACATTTAATCGTGTGACTACAAGCTAAATAGCTAATGCAGTGATTATAAAAAAAGCAACCATGACATAAACTTGAAGCTTAAGTTAGTGAAAAGTAGGGTTGGGCGTTCCGGTTCGGTTCTTCATAACCGGACCGAACCGAACCGTTAAAACGGTATTTTTTCCGATCCGAAACCGTTATTATTTCCCGAACGGTACCATTTTTAGAGAACCGAATTTTTCTAGAACCGAACCGAACTGAACCGAACTTTAAAAATCCCGAAAAACCGAATATTTTTAAAGAAAATCTATCATTTTTTAATAAAATCCGGAACCGAACCGAACCGAACCGATACCGAAACCGAACCGAACCGAATACAATAAAAAAACCCGATTGGTACCTATTTTGTAAAACCGAAAGAACCGAACCGATTAATTCCGTCCCAAACCCGAACCGTTTTCCGAAACGCCACCACCAGTGGAAAGAGCATGTGATGGATTCCATCTTCACTGGCGGTCTAGATTGAGCCTTTCCAGCCAAATTCGAACCACTGCATATATTTATATAATTTACAAATACTATTTTGTCATATACTTATGCATTTGAAAAGAAAATAGAGATAATAATAAAATATATAAAATATCACAAATCAATGACATAAGAAAAATATGGGACGGCCAAAAGCACGATGTTCATGTGAATTACCATAAAAAAAAAGGTAGCTAAACAAAATCAACGGAATACAAAAATTAAACGACGAAAGATAACAGATCATACAAAAAATAAATGTGTATTTAAAATTCATTACCATAAGAAAATTTCCAATTTTGATGTCACATAGTTTATTATTCTGATTTGTAATTATTTCGTGTGATGATAATTTTGGTCCACCAGCCCGCAGAGGGTAAACCGGTAATTTCAAACGTACGGAAACCATTTTGAGAACCGAACCGAACGAGAGGGGGGAAATCCTTTGAAACCCATATTTTTTTTTGTCTGAAAAGGAAGGGTTTTTTTTCCATGGGTGTTGAAGGAGGTCCGAAGATGAACAGAGGAGGAGATCAACGGCTGAGATTGGCCAGACCCACCACAATCCACGGCCGTGCTCAGTCCGGCGACCTCCTGGGCTTGCGTAGGATGCTTAAAGACAGCCCTTCTCTTCTCAACGAGCGTAATCCCTTTGTGAAATCTCTCGCATTCGCTGCATTTCTCGAAGTTCCTTTCCTCCTGGGTTTGTTTAAACATCTATCCTGTGGATTGCTCGGCGTGAAATGGGAATCCGAAAAGTTTGGTTTTTGTGGTTTGTTTTGTCGAATTTGTAACGATTCGAGCTTAGGGTTGGGTTAGAATCGGGTAATTTGTCTTTGGTGTAGCTTGAGGTTTGGAAACTGGTCGTAAAGCTTGAGTTTTCCGGCAATGTGAATCGCATGCTTTCAGAAATGATTCTGACTTATAGATATGGCGTGTTGTAGAAATCCATCTGGAAAATTTCCTGTCCAGATTCTTGGTTTCCCGTAGATTCTGCCTGAATTTGAGAGAAACCATATCTATGTGCTCAGTAAAGCATTCTGTTGGCAAGAGTTTTGTCCTTTTCACTATGTTTGCTGCAACTGGTTTGATTTGAATGCAGACGTCTCCAGACACCGTTTCATGTTTCTGCCTGTAATGGCGAGGTCGATATATCGTCAAGTATTTCGCTTGATTGACCGATGTTCTTCAGTATGGTGAAGCTCCATTGGACATGGCAGCCAAGAACTGATGCAATGAAGCTGCAAACCTGCTTCTTGTCCATGGATTTGGTGCTCTTGTCAAGCCAAACCAAGTGTATGTTCCCTTTTCTTTGTTTATATCTTCCTTTTTTTCAGTACACGAGTTTCGGTTTTAGATGTTGAGCTTAAGAAGAGAATAATCGATGCATAAGCCTCTTTGGATCGGTTTCTTTTGCACAGAACGGTATGACACCGTTACACCTTGCTGTTTGGTACTCAGTAAGCTCCCAAAGGCATCTCAACTGTTGAAACACTGCTCGAGAAAATGCTGATTGAAGTGCAAAAGGCAATGCACGTTCTCTCTCTCGATGATTTTGGTGGTTGTCTTTTTTTAGTTACTTTTGAAGTCTAGAGAGAATTCGGAAAAAAAATGGAATATGAAATGTTCTGTGTTGTATTGATTCAAATGTAATTAAGGGTGTTTATACAACTTCGATATGTTATACCGAACCAAACCAAGTTTTACAGGATTAAACCGGTTATCTTCTCTACTAGTTACCTATATACTTGAGAGTGATGACCTTGGGATTTCTCATTTGCAGGAAGCTATGAGTCCATTAGACCATCTACCTCAAGGACCAGGAAGTAACAAATTGAGAGAAAGAAAAACGAGCCATAGTAGCTTGTGGTGAGACAAAATCTAAAATGCATCTACTTGAGAACGAGTTATCGAATATTGTCGGGTTAAGTGAGTTGAAGGTGCATCCACATCAGGAAATGGGCTAAAGGGATGATTTTACACAAGAAAAACAGTAGAGCTCTAGGGCTAAAACCATGGTAAAAAAAACTCGAGTTCTAGGAAAGTTGCTTCACATGGTTGGACTTTTACCGACCGATAAGGTAACAGAAGTGCGACGCACAGATTTGGTCGGTGAATTTGTCCGTCACACAGGGACAAAGACCAGGAAAAAGGTGACAATTTCATTCAGACAAATTATCCAGAGAGATTAGCTTGAAGAAAACTGAATCTTTACGCTTGTAAACAGATCCAAGAAGCCGAAGGAGGGATAATGTTTATGGATGAAGCATACCGGTAAATCCCCCATGCGGAAGGCAAGGTGATGACACAGACTATGGTCTAGAAGCCCTAGAAGAGATAATGTTGTTAATGGACACGGGGGAAAGTGAGCAAATGTAACGAGTGATTGCATCAAACGAGGGGTTCTGCAGAAGGGTCTCGATGACTTCAGCTCCAAGGAACTGGCGAAGCTACTGCACATGAAGATGAACAACCAGACTGAAGCAAACCCAGTTCATGGTTTCACTGGAGGATATAGAGCTGATCTTCGGGAATTCTGCAGGAGGGCCTCTAGTTATGTTCCTCCTCCACCCTCAGGAATCTTGTGAAGAGACTCGAGAGAGGTTTGGTTTTTAAGATAATGGTCTCATCATCTCTTTGGTGATGACATTATATCATATTCTTTGTTCTTTGTCTGAAACGTTTTTTGGTAGCGAGCAATATTGTTTTGGTACTTTTCTATCCAAATGTTGCTAATTATCGAGAATATATATATATATATATATATATATATATATGTATATATATAATGTATGTTGGAAGTCTCAAATCCCTTCAATTATATGCATGCTTCTTCCCTCTATGTATCCTAGTATAATCAGTGATCCACTTTTTGGGAGTTAGTTTTTGAGATAAATCTCCTAATTTATATAAAGTTTTGTATTATTTTCTGTAAAATCTTTATTTTAAATTTATATTATTTTAATGTAGTGTGTATATATATATTCGTTTCTTTAGGATTTTTATATATTGGATCTTAATGTATATAAAATTGGTAAAATTGATCGATCAAAAATAGACTTTTGCGGATTCAACAATCTTACTCCATTCTCCAAAAGTAGATGTAAAGCAAAGATACTCCCCCTTGTGTTTTTTAAGAAAAATAAAAGTCGAATAAAAAAATTCAATAAATTAAAAGAAGACGTAATGAACATGCATTATATAAAAAATACCCTTAATTTGTTATTTCTACTTCAACACCTATCTTTGTGATCATGTGACCAATGTAACCGAAATATAGTGTGGTCACATTTTGATTTTATCGATTATAACGTTAAATTTATGGTGATCACACTAATTCATTATGTTCATACCTTGTATATCTTACTAATCATTTGATTAAAATATCATAAATTTAACGTTATGAACAATGAGATCAATATGTAACCACACTATATTTCGGTCACATTTGTCACATGGTCACAAAGGTAGATCTTGAAGTATAAATAGCAAAGTAAGGATATTTTTGATAATGGCCCTAATGAACAGGTAACTATAAACTCTAGAACACATTTACTTATTGATATTCTATTATAAGATTTCTTTCTTATCCAAAACATCAAATGAACACTGATGATTGTATATTCCGAATTTTTTTTTTTTTAAAAAAAAGAGATTTTATCAAATAAAAGCCGAAGCAAAAGTAATTTTAACTTGGCTTTTTCAAAATTTTTAATCAACCAAATCGAAATCCTATTTTTCTATCTTTTGTATTATAGATAACATGTCTGTTTTGGGAGATATTAATTAATTTATATGATTCGGATTTACAATAATGTATTAATGTTGCAATTTTCATGTATATAATATTATGTGTGAAATTTTAAATCCTCGTGGCATCCAAGGAAGTGAACAAACGGACAGAACGGAGCGTCTCAAGACCAAAAAGGTAACCATCCAAAGATGAAAACAATCATGGTGACAGATTGTTAATTGTTATTAATTAGTCATTATTAACAAAAGTGATTAGTCGAATTTGATTAAGACTCTGTTTGCTTTCATTTATAACAAAAATTTTTAAATGTTTGAAAAAAAAGAAAAACTTCTGTCAATTAATTAATAACTAAATGTAGTTTCCCCAAAAAATGTATGTTTCAAAATAACAATAGCTTGTATCCTCATATATTACCGGTTCTTTCTTTTTTGTTAATTAACTAATAATTAAACAATAATTAAGGCGCCATTTTAGACCATGTTTGTCGTCCGGTTTAGGCTTGTATTAAGTTAAACCAAGTTTTAATCTTTTATATATAGAGAGAGAAAAAAGGTTTAAACATAGGATTTTATTCTTCATCCATATGTTCAATTCCATATAATATATATTTATACACACACACACACATATATATATATATATATATCCTTCCACAATCCACATCACTTGTTGGTAGAGGCAAAAGCTTTACGTAGACAAACCACCAAACTCCAAGAAGAAGACAGAAACAATAAGAGAAATCTATCTCTCTCAATCTACAAAGAAGAAGAAGAAGAAGGGAAGATGGTGTTTAGAAGCTCCATAACCAACACAAGAAGGTTCTTCCAAAAAACCCTAGAAAACTTCAAGTCATTCTTCTCCAATGGCTACCAAAAACTACCCAAAAGCCCTAACGACACCTCCATTACTACTAAACCATGCAAAGACCTCACATTCTACAACAACAACAGCAAAGCCCATAACCCAAACATCATCATCCCATCATCACCATCACCGCCATCATCATCATCGTCATTGCGCAATAAGCAGCTTCTTGCAAAACCCAGAACTCCTGCAACTCCCAAGCAACAGGGAAGACCAGACCATGAACAGAAAACACTCTACTCCAAACCCAAGATTCAGATCGTTCGAGAGAAGCTGAAGGAGTTAGAGACAGTGATCGGTGTAATGACCGATACAGATCATGTTTCAGATGTTCAAGAGTTTCTGCATTACTATTCTCGTCTGCGTTGTCCTGCTTATATCGATATCGTCGAACAGTTCTTCATGGAGATGTACTCTGAGTTCTTCTTGGTCCCCCAGCTCGAGCCGCCGATAACCGCCGTCCATTCACGGCGGAGGAAGACGGTGGTTGGATCGAGCCGCCGTTAAAAACTCTAATTGCGAGTTTAGTTCTGTGTAACGACTCTCTCTCATGATTGATTAGTTTTTCTTGCTGATTAGAGAGTTTGACATGGTCGTGTTTTAACCAAAAAAAAAAAAAAAAAGACATGGTCGTGTTTGATGGTTTGTTCTTGAGATTCTTAGGGAGTTCATGTCTGAAAATTTTATTTGGCCTTGTCGGTTTCGTGTGATTGTGTTAATGTTTCATTGTCATTTGTTCAATGAATTAACTAATAATGAAATCCGAGATTTCTCCTTGCAGAAACCGAGATTTACAAGCATGAATGAAATGCTACAATTGTGGTATCGAATTAGCTAGTTACTACTGAAGTTTTGTTCAAACACTTACGCATGGATCCCTTAGATTTTGTATATCTATTTCAACTTTTGTAACAGATTTGATAATTTTTTGCCGTAAGGAATACAACAAGCACATTTTATCCAAAAAAAAACTAATGATGTTGTTCATTATTGAAAAATAACACTTACATTGTAAATTAACTCGGAAATGCAAAAAATTCACATGGACATGGAGTGTAATTTTGTATTATGAGGCCGATTTCTCCATTACTGGTATATTCAAATCCCAAGCAACACTAAATTATCAATGATCTACATTTATGGATAACTGTGTAAAATGGGTGGGTCTAGCAGGTTTCTGGGTGAGTTTGATTCGGGTCTAGGTGTTTCTAGGTATGTGGACTAGAGCCCAATCCTATAGGGTTTCGGGTGATTCAGATCGAGTTTCGGGTTTTTTCTATTTAATAAAAAAATAAATATTAATGTATAATAATAATAATATTGAGTTATTTAGCATTTTTTTTAAAAATAAATAATAGCAAATTTACATTTTCATCAATTACAATTAAAAACTTTTAAATCTAAAAAATGATCATGTAAACTTTAAAATATATAAATTTATCTAATATTTTTAATATATATATATATAAGGGATAATTCCATTTAAAACCCTGTACTTTTCTCTCGTCGCAATTTAAACCCTGTACTTTTTTTTGATCCAAAAAAACATTGTACTTTTAAAAATTGGCAATTAAAACTCTATACTTTTAAAAATTTGCAAATAAAACCCTGAACGAAAAAATATATTATTTAATGCTGACATGGCATCCTAGTCATCTGCCACATCATCAATCCCTAATATTTAATAATATTAATTAATATAAAATAAAAATAAAATAATAAAAATAAAAATAAAATTTTAAAAATTATACACATACATATATAATGAAATGATATACATATATACACATATATAAACATATTTATATATATACACACATATATATAATACATATATATATATATGTTTTATATGCATATGTGGTATATGTATTTTTTTTCTAAAAATCATGCATATGTCCACATATATATATATATGATTTTTAGAAAAGCATGTATATATCACACATACATATAAAACATATTTATATATACATATATATATATATGTATTATATAGATATATATATAAATATGTTTTATGTATGTGTGATATATGATTTTTTTTCCTAAAAATCATACATATATATATAATGTTTTTTAGGGAAAAATACATATATAACACATACATATAAAACATATAATAATTATACACATATATAGATATATATGTATCATATGTATATATATGTATATATGTATATATAAATATATTTATATATGTATATAATTTTAAAATTTTTATAAACATGTTTATATATGTGTATAATTTTATGAATATATATAATTTTTAAAATTTTATTTTTATTTTATATTAATTAATATTATTAAATATTAGGGATTGATGATGTGGCAGATGGCTAGGATGCCATGTCAGCATTAAATAATATTGTTTTTCGTTCAGGGTTTTATTTGCTAATTTTTAAAAGTATAGAGTTTTAATTGCCAATTTTTAAAAGTACAATGTTTTTTTGGATTAAAAAAAAGTACAGGGTTTAAATTGAGACGAGAGAAAAGTACAGGATTTTAAATGGAATTATCCCTATATATAATATAAAAGAGATGATATTTGGTATAATAAAAAATATAGAAAGAAAATTGATATAAAATTTAAAAATCAAAATTAAACTCATAAAATATTTTCATATATATATATATATATAAATCAAACTAAAATCTAATCAAATCATTCAATAATATATATAATATATTTATGATTTTAGAAAAAAAAATAATATTTAATTTTAGTATATATATTAACCAAACTGCTCTAAAATATATATATAACATACAAATAAAAGTTTAGGGGTTCGGGTTTAATTGGCACCCCTGATAAGGAAGAAAGAAGAACAAACAAACCGCATAAATCAAGCATACAACAGTGAAATGGTTTGCAAGAATTTAAATCCAAATAAAATTGGACCGACCCATAATAGCCCAATATGTTCATAAGCCCAATATGCTTAATGGATTAATTTGATACTTTTTGGATATCAATATTAAATTTTTAATTGAGGAAACATAAATCGCTGAACTCTGATCTCTCTCTCTCCTCTAAATCCCTCCGCCGCTGCGACCACCGTCGCCGTCTACCGGTAAAAAACTCTTCTCATTCTTCTCTCAGCACTTTCATTTTTTTGGCGCTTTGTTTTTTCAGATCTGGGTTTCCTTTTGTTGATGAAAATAACCGTGAATTTAGAAGACCCCTGAAATAAAGTTAAGATTTTTTGGGATTTTTTGTACAGAAATTAGGTTTTGTAGTGTTGTAATCGTTGAATTGGATAGGCATCGATTGGCCCATGTGTGTGGTTTTACTTGTTTTAGCTTCATACTTCGTAATCTCCAGACTCCGATTCATTTGCAACATTAACACAATTGCGCCAGCGTCTATTCATATAATTGGATGAGGCTTCTTCTTGATTCTGGATCAGGATCATGGATGATTTTCTTGTCTGTGTTCCACTCGTAAAGCAAGGAAAAGGATCTGTTTGTAGAACTAGAACCCTTTAGTGATGCTACATGTGGAAGAAGTTACTATTACCATCATAATTGCTTTTACAGTGATGAAGGTTGCTGCATTCTTGTTTATGTGCTTTTATGATCGATGTTGCTGCTCGACCGTTTAGAAATCTCGTATGCGTCTTTCTTTTGCCTGATTTTGACATGAAAGGTCAGGATTTAAGGTCTAGATCAATCCGGATTCTGAATTCAGAACCTCGAAATGATATCAATGTGGTCGGAGTTTGTGTTTTAGCCGCGTTTGAAACTTCATCTCGGCATATTTTGTTTCCTTGGATTCATATATCACTTCCCCGTTTGATTGTTTCTCTCAGTGGGTGTCTCAGATAATCTCTGGTTCTCAGATCAACTGAGTGTTGCTTCAAGTATCGGATACAAAAATGGAATTAGCTGATCGGGCAGTCGGGTTTCTATTGTCTTCCATCAGCTTATCCATATTCACTTACTATACTTTCTGGGTCATCATCCTGGTGAGAACCCCACACACCCCTCAACCATATTGCTTTACGACGATGAACATTCGTTTTTCGAATAACCCTTTCATCGTCTGTCGGTTGTCTGATGCAATCTCGTTTCTTCTGTGTAATCTTTGCAGCCGTTTGTAGATAGCGATCACTTCATCCACAAGTATTTCTTGCCCCAAGAGTATGCAATTCTGATACCCGTATTTGCAGGTGTGGTTCTCCTCTCCTTCCTCTGCATATTTATCGGGTTTGTGATTCTCAAATCGAAAAAGAAGAAGGCTTGATTCGAGTATTGAGTCCATCTCCACGGATTAGGGTTTCTTCTGGTTGTTTCTGCTTCAACTGTGACTGGCCACAGGCCATTGAACTTGAAATGGAGTGTTGATCTGTGAGAGAGACACCCTCATATGTTTGTAGGGAGTCCACTCTTCTTGTGAATGCAACCTTTCTTTTAACCTGTGATCATTGGGAACTAGCTACCTGATACATGGAGAACCAATTCCCATGCCCTTTGATTGAAAATTCCAATCTTTCACATATACCCATCTACTGCATATCTATAGATAGATATATGAGATTCTACAATGCAATATGGTTGGAAAGCTTATTTATTTCTACATTGTCACCACTTGCCCCCTCATTGTTGTGGTTTTGGTGGGATCATGTGGTGGTTTTTTTTCCCACATGGTAAAAAAAAAGGGTGAGGGCCAACATGATACTTTTATGTGAAATTGAATAAAAGATTCTTTTGAAAAGAATATCCATCTCAAAGATTCCTTTTTTTTTTGTCTCCATTGCCTTTGGCATTATAAGGAGAGGAGACCATTGAGGGGTTCTCTTCTTTTTCTTTGTATACTTCATAATGTATTTTGCATTAATGACATTCAGTTTTTTGGGTTGCAATAAACCCTCTAAATATTTTATATTCAAAAGATATAATGATTTACCCACCATGTTAGATAAACACTTTTTTTTTTCCATTGAAAACCCTAAACGCGTGAGGAGTTGAGTTATGCTTTCTAATCATTGAAACAAGTTCAACTTGCAATTTTTTTTTCCATTGGATATAATATGAATCCTATAAGAGGATCAATCAAAGTGAAATTAAATCGGACAGCTCATCGGAACAAGACAACAATGTATAATCTGATAATCAAAATGTGTATATATAGGTTATGGCCCTAAGCCCGCATAGTAAATGCTTGAATTTAGGGTACCAATTTTGGTCCGAAATCCGAATCTCAGTCCGAACCCACTAGAAAAATATCGGACTTCGGATCTAAATATATCGGTCTAAAAATATTCAATTTGGGTCGGATTCAAATCAAGTTCCGGATCGATTCGAAAGTTTGATTAAAAAAAATAAAAATCACTTTATAAAGAAGAAATTGAGTGGTCGATTCGATTGACACCCCTACTTGAATTGTAGTATACACTATATACATGCAAATCATGATTAATTAACTAACAATCTAATAAATAGTACGTACTAGTATTATACGACATTGTTATGGATGACATATAATTGGAGTTGGCTATTAATGCTGCCTAGTAACCAAGATAAAAACAAGTAATGGACCACGGGTAATAAAAGCTGTAAATTAAAATTAACTGTAATAACCCAAAAGAAAATGAAATACATTATATAATGGGAATTGGTCCATGTATGCACGTGAAACCGTACGGAATAAGCATGGCATGCAGCGAGGGTCCAATCGAACCTCGCAACACAACGCATTACTCGTAACATGCACGTTCCCTATGGACCAGGGGCGGACCTATGTATAAGGGAGTGGGGGCACGTGCCCCGTAGTCAATTTTTTTTTTATAAAAAATTTAAGTTAAGATTTTTATAAATTTTAATAAAAAGAGAACGATGTACCTCCATTTTCAACTATCTCACTTTTTTTAATCTATTTTCTTATTAAATTTGACTAATTTTTATATATAATTTTTTATGAATACCCCAATGGAAAACGTTTCTGGATCCGCCTATGGACCATTTTGGAATTTAGTCTTTTATTAATCATGCTTTGATTTTGCTTATACCACTTATCTCATATAACAATTCATCATACTCTTAATCTCCCAAAACAATGTTGGAAAACATCGTCATGTCGGCTGATGTTTCATATTAATTTCTAACCCTAGCTTATACACGGGCCTAATAAATAAGTATATTTTGTCTATTTATTATTTTCTAAATTTAAAATTGTTTTACACGTGATAATGATGCATATGAAGTTAAAAACATACTCAAAGGAAACCTAATATATTAATGTTACATTTGTTAATAATCCCCAATTCCGAAGTTTTTTTTTATAACTGAATGTTCTGGATCAAGATCCAGACTAATCTCAAGATTGGAAGTTAGCGATGTGATTTGAAATATACACCCCTCTTTCAAATTTGAGGTTCAAATTCGAACGAAACAAGCGTTTTTCGTCTCCTTTTCACCGGTTGATTTGGATCCAATTCTGAAGTTTGGTTAGTATATTACAATAGCATGATGTTGGTTAATTAGAATTTAGACCATATAAGGAATTACGTTATATTATATTAAACCTAACTCCGTGACAAAAACTAATTCATGGAATTAATGATCATCATACACACCCGTAGAAAACGGAATATATGGACGTTTACCCTAATTCTACCATATTTATTTCTTGAGTATAGTTTAGTCATGGGAAAGGATTTTCACTCGTCGATCCAATGTGAATCATATATACAATAAAAGATTAGAATATGGTTTCAAATTGTCGGCTCATAAAGGAAAATAATAAAGATATTGACAAAAAGAACAAAAGTAGAGCAATAAATTCGAAAACAACCTACACGAGAGGAATTAAGGAGACTATAAGAATTTTGGCGCATTATGCGGTTTCATGGGGGATCCGAAAATGGAAGAGGGTCCTTCCCCAAAGGCCATGAAAAGGGCCTTGCTGGTGGCTCTTCGTTGTGTGGATCCCGACGCTAACAAGCGCCCTAAGATGGGTCATATCATCCACATGCTCGAATCCGACGACTTGCTCTTACGCGATGTAATCCACCAAAACTTAGATATATATATATATATATATCGCATATTGTTATTAGCAGGCCAGCCATCATTTCTTCCCTGTTATAATCAGCGTTTTCACTCCAAGCAAGCACCAGCCATCATTTTTTTTTATAATCGGGTATCATGAGTCAAGATTCAGACTAATCCCAAAATTGGAAGTAAGCCATCTGATTGGAATTATACTCCCCTCTTCAATTTGAGGCTCGAACTCGAGACAGAACAAACGTTTTCCGGTTGAGCTACCCAAGTTAGATCAATATCTTATACTTGTTGAAACATTTGCTCATGTACGTATACTTATATTCAAGTTAGACTTGTATGGGGGAAACTCCCAGATCAGGTGGTTGGGAGCATGGGATAAAACCCATGAGGTGGGGGTTCGATTCCCCATCGCCTCACTTCCTCTGATCTGCTCGTCTGCCAGCCTCCGGACTGATTTACCACCCACGCGTGTGTTGCAGGATCATGCGCGTGGGCTTGGGGTTTATCCGGTCAGCATGCCCGAAGGATAGCAGTCGGGATTCCCCAATGCATAAAAAAAAGAAGTTAGATTTGTATGCATGACTTCACACATGAATACATATATTGCTCGCTTTTTTTAGTGTTAAAATTAGGTTGTTCATCATGTTTAACCTTGATGTGTCCACTTCTGATTTTGGCGAGAGTGCCCACATCCAAAACAGGAGTCTTTCGGATTTGTTCTTGAGTTCGAGAGGACCGAGTTTGGGTCGGATTAGGCCTAATTGAGTTGTGTCTCCAATTATCAACCTAGACACTATTAGCAAGAACCGATCTACCACTTGCATCGGTAACCACTTAAGCAGCCATATGGACAGCCGGAACGTCGATCTACCGAGAATTTCTTGCGGCAAACATGAACCTGCGCCATGTTTTGGAACTGGATTAGTCTATAGAGGGCGAAAAGAGTAATAAAGAAAAGATTTTTATTTGTCGGGAAAGAAAAACTGGTTGGTACAAGAACAAGAATTGATTCAAATGATCTTATATGATTACTGTATCCGCGAACAAAAATGAGAAAGCGAAAGAGCAAAAAGGAACATGGAATAAGATCACCACAAAGTAGTATAGGAAAAGAGATTGATTTCAGAATTTGATCAATGAAACTTTTGAGACTTATTTATTCAAAAACCTTCTGCTCCACATATATACAAAATCAGAGCAAGAAATAGGAAGAAGACGAAGACACAGTAAAAGGAAACAAAGGTATTTCATGGAAATTGAGATAATCAACAAAGGAAATGAGAAGAAAGAGAATCTCGCAGCGTAATATCTTCGATCATGGCTGAGGATTTTCGTCGGTGATTGCTCCAGTGAGAGTCAGTGGGATTAATCAATGCAATGATGTGTTTTGGGCTTCAAGGCCCACTCCATCCAAAGTTGGGCCATCGTTAAGGAGATTAGACAGCCCAAAGTGATTGGTACCAGCTTTGTCCATGTCTGAGTTCTCCTCATCGTGTGTATTTCCTCCAATATTCCCCCTCAAGCTAGGCGTGTAGAGATCGTACATGTCGAGCTTGCCAACGAGACAATGCAACACGTAGGTTGAGGTAGCCTTGGTGAAAATATCCGCCAATTGGTCACAACTCTTCATGTAGCTCAATGAAATGATATCTTGTAGAACTTTCTCGCGGACGAAGTGGTAGTCAACTTCGATGTGCTTCGTGCGTTCATGGAAGACCGGGTTGGTAGCAATGTGAATCGCGGCTTGGTTGTCACAATGAAGAGTAATTGGAGATGTTGAGTCACGTCCGAGTTCGCCTAAGAGTGTCTTGAGCCAAATGATCTCAGATGTTGTGTTAGCCATGGCACGATACTCTGCCTCGGCACTCGACCGCGCTACCACCGTTTGTTTTTTGCTTCGCCAAGTGACAAGATTCCCTCAACCGAAGGTGCAGTAGCCCATGGTAGACTTGAGATCACCTTTGTCTCCAGCCCAATCCGCATCACAGTAGCCAACAATTTCGGTATGGTTGTTTTTGTGCATCCAAATCCCTTTGCCTGGCGAGCCTTTCAGATAACATAGAATACGCTCCACCATATGCCAGTGTGAACGGTAGGTGCATGCATCCATTGACTCACCTGATGCACCGCAAAACTTAAGTCAGGTCTCGTAAGGGTAAGATAAATCAACTTACCTACCACTCGCCAGAAACGTTCGGTGTCCAAAAAGGGCGATGAATCTGATGCATCCTTGTAGTTAGTTTCTAGAAGTGTTCTTGCTGGCTTAGCCCCTATCTTTCCCGTATCTTGTAGTAGGTCCAATGTGTATTTCCGTTGAGAGAGGAATAGACCATTGTCGGAACGAGAGACTTCGATTCCAGGAAAGTATTTCAGCTCTCCGAGGTCTTTGATATCAAACGTGTCCTGCAAGTAAACTTTAGTAGCATCTATATCTTGAATAGAATCACCAGTCAAAATAATATCATCCACATAAATAAGTAAGATAACAATACCACCATCACACATACGGAAGAAAAGAGAGTGATCAACATTACTACGAGAGAAGCCAAAGGCAAGAAGGGCATCATGAAGCTTTTGGTACGAAGCACGAGGAGATTGTTTCAAACCATATATAGACTTCTTGAGCTTACACACGGTACCATGTGCAAGATGATAACCCGGAGGAGGTTTCATGTAGAGCTCTTCATCGAGTTCCCCCTGAAGAAAAGCATTTTTAACGTCCATCTGCCAAAGACACCAATTGAGATTAGTAGCAAGGGAAAAAATAACACGAACAGTAGATAATTTAGCCACGGGTGCAAAGGTCTCCGTATAATCTTCCCCGTATGTTTGTGTAAAACCCTTGGCGACAAGGCGAGCCTTATGGCATTCGATGCTTCCGTTACTCCTATATTTGATCTTAAAGCCGCTCTTTTGTCCTTCGGAAGAATAGCTGGTTCCCACGTCTTGTTTTTCTCCAAGGCAGCCAGTTCATCCGACATTGCAATCTGCCAAACCTCATGGTCCTTGGCTTCTTCATACGTTGCCGGTTCGAAGCCAAGATCAACTTGGCTAAGGAAAGCCTGTTCATGGTCAAAAACATTGGAAATAGAGTAATAATCATGAAGGGGATAGGTTACTGCAGTATGAACACGATCCGGCGCACCCTGCTGAATTTGCAGCAGTGCTTTCTGCTGTAGACGAACACTCCGACGAGGCATAGGAGGCTCAGGGGCCTGCATGACAGCACCAGGTTCGACCATGAGAGCATCCTCGGGAGCGGGGTGGACAGCCAACAGGAGGGTCGAGGGGCTCAAGAACCTGCATAACAACAACAGGGTCGGCCACGGTCGGTGCACATGGGTCAATCGCAGCTAGCTCGGGCGGAACTCAAGGGTGACAGGTGGAACGGAGTGTGTTGCAGCTGGTACAGGCTGATTTCCAGAATCCAACGATGCAGTAGGAGGGGAGTGAGAGGCATTCTGTCGACGAACAGAATCTAGAATATGAAGAAGGGTGGAATCATAGCTTGGTGAATAAGCTGTCAAAGATTCCAAGTCAAGCGAATCAGAAGGAGCAAAATATCCCTTGCTCTCGTCAAATCAAACATCGCGGGAGACGTAGATACGTCGAGACTCGGGGTGAAAGCACTTGAAGCCTTTCTGATCGGCGGAGTATCCAGCGAACATGCACTTAAGGCTCCTCGGTTCCAGCTTGTCCCGTTTGGAATCTGGAATCAAAACAAAACATACACATCCAAATACCCGTAAGTGATTCAAAGGTGGAAGATGTTGATTTAGAACTTCGAATGGAGACTTGTCAGAGAGATTCTTTATAGGCAATCGGTTGATAAGGTAGCATGCCATAGTAACCGCGTCACTCCAAAAACGTTTAGGAACATGTCGATGGAACATGATAGTCCGAGCCATATCCATAAGGTGACGATTCTTCCTCTCGGCCACACCATTTTGTTGCGACGTGTGTGGACATGTTGTTTGATGTTGGATATAGGGGTGAGCGTTTCGGGATTCGGTTCAAAATTTTAACGGTTCGGTTCGGGAACGGTTTATTCGGTATTATAAAATTTGTACCAAATTAGTACCGTATATTATTCGGTTCGGTTCGGTTCGGTTCGGTATTATGACGGTTCGGGACGGAACGGTACTAATAAATAAGTACCAAATAAGAACCGAAATAAAAACGGTTCGGAACGGTTCGGAACGGTTCATATAATTCATATAGTATAAAAATAAAAAAATCCAACATAATAATTTAGACAACAAAATAAAAATTTTAAATTTGATGTAACCGTAAAGAAATTTAACATAATAATTTTGAAATTTTCTATAAATATGATCAAAACTTTAAATTACGTTTTAAAAATCATATTATATATGTAGAAATCAATCTTTTTTTACCAATAAAATAAAATATCTGTAATATAAAAAAATAAATAAAAAAAGATAAAAATAAAATATTTATAAAGTAAAATATAGACAACTTACTATTAAATATAATCAAAATTAATAAAAATAAATAATTTATTGAACTTTGATAATGCTAAACAAAATAAATATCACTATTAATTATTATTAATAAATAAAATAAACATAAATCTAAATACATGACGTAAATAATTTATTAATACACTAAATTATCATAATTAATTATTAATATTAAATATTTTTTAATTAAAAAATAAAAATACCGAAATACCGTTCGGTATTTCCCGAACCGAACCGAACCATTTCCGAACCGTTCGGTATCTTAAATCTTGTACCGTTCGGTATTTTTATATAATACCGAACCGAACCGTTCCCGAATTAATCGGTTCGGTACGGTTCGGGACTAAATTCCCGAACCGAATTGTCCACCCCTAGTTGGATACCATGTTCAGAGATGAATGACTGAAAGTGGTGGCTGAGAAATTCTCTTCCATTGTCAGACCTAAAGATTTGTATCTTGGCATCAAAGTGGTTAGTCACATAAGCATAAAAATGTTTGAAAGCAACAAAGACATCCTTCTTGGATTTAAGCAAAGTAAGCCAAGTGAATTTAGATTTATCATCAATAAATGTCACAAAATATTTGTTATTATCACGCGAATAACAAGGAGTCGTCCAAACGTCCGAGTGAATAAACTCAAAACAATGATCATAAACTGTCTGTGATACTGGAAAATATAAATGACATTGTTTGCCTCGCAATGTTCATTGGACATAGTCTCATGCGGGAAAATTAAATGCATAACTTGAAAGTGTGGATGACCTAAGCGTGCATGCCAAATAGAAGAAAGTGCTACTTCGGAATGAAAGTTCGAGCGATCAAGGAGATAAAGGTTGTTCTTGAGAGTTCCTTTACCAAAATTGCTCCCGACTTAGTATCCTGAAAAACCACTTCATTAGCATCGAAAATAGCCTTACAGTTTAGATCAGACGTTAGCTTCGGAATGGATAATAGATTGATTTTAAAATCTGGCACGTAAAGGGCATTGATATTCCTGTCAAAGATGCGAACCGTGCCCTGACCACAAATGGGAGAGCTAATACCATTAGCTACAGACACAACGCCATGACGTTGTTCCAAGGAAGAAAATAGTTTTGAATCATGAAACATATGATTTGTAGCCCCCGAGTCAACAACAACAGAGGAATGTAAAGGAGATGCAGTATGAGAAATATTACCAGACTCGGAAGCAGATTGGATGAGCTGCTTCAGAGTTTTGTACTCTGCATCAGAGAACATGTCATGTGGTGGTGTTGCCAGAGCCCGATCTCGAACCTGATTGCCAGGATCCCGAAACTTCTACGGGCGAAGGTGTGGGTGAAGAACCCAACACTCTGCTTTGGTGTGACCTGCCTTCTTACAATGCTCACAGAAAAAAGAAGGCCTCTCCTTTGAAGGAAAGGATGTTTTTCTGAAATGAGCAAGTTCGGGCTTACCTTGGAAGAGGTTTCGGCCTGCCTCTTCCCGTTTAATGAGCATGCACACCTCATTGAGATACGGAAGTTCTGATTGTCGCAGAACATGGTGGACCAAGTCTCCATAGGTGCCGTCAAGTGAGAGAAGAAGTGTGTAAACTTTGTCATGTTCATTCCGCTGAGTGCTGACTGCAGAGTCTGTGCAGACCAGTCGGAGCTCATCTAGCTCAGCCCAGAGAGCGCTGAGGTCGCCGAGGAGTTTGTTGAATGGTTGACCACTTTGGTGGATGGCGTGCAGAGACTTTTTGATCTCATAAATCCTGCTCGAGTTTGAGAGATTGCCATAAACGCCTTCTAAAGTATCCCATAGATCTTTGGCAGTGTCTTTGTGGATATAAGTTGACAGAATCGATGCTTCCAGAGAGCTGTGGAGTAGAGACAACACCAATGGTCCTCTTGGAACCATGCAATCTCTTCAGCCGCTGTTTTAGGGACCTCCGTAACAGATCCATCGTCGGTCGTGACAGTCTTGGGGGCTGGAAGCTTGATGTGAGTCCAGAGAGCCTTACTGCACAAAGTCGTCTTGGCAGCCTTGGACCAAATCCCATAGTTGTTTCCTGTGAACTGAATCGGGATCAGTCGTGGTGCTGAGGAGGTATCCATGAAATCAAAAAACAAAACAAAAAATTAGGAGACTAAGAGATCGAAAAACTTCGGATCAACGCTTTGATACCATATAGGAAAAGAGATTGATTTCAGAATTTGATCAATGAAACTTTTGAGACTTATTTATTCAAAAACCTTATGTTCCACATATATACAAAATCAGAGAAAGAAAGAGGAAGCACAGTAAAAGGAAACAAAGGTATTTCATGGAAATTGAGATAATCAACAAAGGAAATGAGAAGAAAGAGAATCTCGCAGCGTAATATCTTCGATCATGGTAGAGGATTTTCGTCGGTGATTGCTCCAGTAAGAGTCGGTGGGATTAATCAAAGCAATGATGTGTTTTGGGCTTCAAGGCCCACTCCATCCAAAGTTGGGCCATCGTTAAGGAGATTAGGCAGCCCAAAGTGATTGGTACCAGCTTTGTCCACGTCCGAGTTCTCCTCATCGTGTGTATTTCCTCCGATAAGTAGCACTATAGTGAAAAATATGTAAAACCAATTGGTTAAAATCACAAAAGAAAATCAACAAACCAACAAACATACCCTAATTAAGATCCTCTAATTTATATATAAACTGAACCAAAACGAGTTTGTCGGTTACCTAATTGAACCCATAGGTCGTAACTAAAAGTTTCAGAAAAGAAAAACCTAAAAACATCGAACATGTATATATATATATATATGGTGGCTCTCTTTCCAGAAAGTAAGGATTGAATCCATGATTGTTTTCGCTTATACCGAGTTGCGAACCACGAGAGAGGCGAGAGCGTTGAAGTTGCAAAGATCTAAGAAAACCTCCATGCCGGAATTTCCACATCCGACAACCAAAACCTTCTTATCCCTAAACGTTTCACCACTCTTATAAGATCTCGCGTGAATCACTGTTCCATTGAAACCGTCCATTCCTTGAATCTCCGGCAATACCTCCTCCGCATTCTCCCCCGTCGCTGCCACCAACCACCGGGAAAAATACTTCGTCTCCTCTTTCTTCGGCCCCATCACCGCCTTCACCCTCCAAAACCCACGTCGCCGGTCAAATTCTGCCTTGACCACTGTCCTGTTAAGGACCGATTCGAGGCCAAACGGGTCAGCATAGGAGTGAAGATACGAGAGGAACTGTTGCTTTGAAGGGTATGTTGGGAAGTTTGAAGGGAAGGGCACCAATGGAAGCTCGCAGAATTGCTTCGGGAGGTGAAGACGGAGGCGGTCGTACGTTTTGAAATGCCAGAGCGAAGCAATGCAATTGGAATGCTCGAGAATCAAACTCGGAACTCCTTTGGCTTTCAGACAGGCCGCCACCCCGAGTCCAGACGGTCCGGCTCCGACAATGACCGGTCCGGGAACCCATATGCACCTTGTCGTCGGCGATCTTGGTGGTGGTTCGGTCATGTTGTCTGAGAAATTATACGGACCATGGACTCTTGCCTTCTGTTTCTTTGGAGTAGTCCATGAAAAACATCAAAAGATTTCTTTCTCTCTCTTTTTTCGTACTTGAGAGAGAGAGAGACGTAGGTTCTGAAACGAACACTTAGTGAAAAAAACCAAGCTCTTTAAAAAGCTTATGCGAAGAGATGCAAAGTGATGGAGTGAATCCGCATTGCGGATGACGAGAATTAGGGCAGGGAGGTATCCGTGTTTATATATTAGGTTGGCCAGTGGCATGTTGTGTAATTTATTTCGATTCATGTCCTTCTATTGGAATTTTCGCAAGATTAATAACTACCGTTAGCCAATGATTATAATTAATATTTACATTGAAAAACGCGTGCAAGTACCCCCACATACATTTATATTTTACTAAATTATTTCTTCAAAGTGGGGAAGTATGTATAATTCTTTTTTTTCTGTAAATTAGTAATGAGTATTTTTTTATGTAAATTAGTAATGAGTATTTTTTTTTTTAAATAAACTAGGCAAAGTGCAATTTAGTTTTTAATATTATTTTACACTTTAATATAATTACAAAAGGTTTAGTATTTTCTCTAATTTGTTAATTTTTAGCTCCGTCTCTCTCTCTCTTGGAATTATGAGTAAGGTGAATGTTATTATTTCGCTAAATTTCAGATATAATTGTAATTCGTAATCTAGGTGTGCACTTAATCATCTTCTTTCCTCCCAACCTTATTCGAGTTGTGCTAATTTCTGTTTATAATATTCAAAATCTTATTTCATCCAAATATAGAATAAATTTTGCTTTGGAGAAGGGAAAAACAACCTAAGAAACACGAGGACTAGGCTTTGGACATATACCCTTACATATTTAATATTTGGGGTATAAGTTTTTTTTTCAATTTCTTATTTTTTATTTCGTAAAAATTATATTCATCCAATGAAAGTTCCATTTTTTTAATACAAGTTCATTTTATTAAAAATATTTATTTAAAATTTTATGCTATTCATTTTTTTTATTTTTTTTAGGTTGATATTTGATTAATTTTGTTTTTAAAAATTATAATTCACTATGTTTTTAATTTTAAATATGGAATGATGAAAAGAAATCAATATATTGAGTTTAATTTTGGTTGCATATGATATCTAGAACAATCAAGGCCCAATTTAGATTTTTGTTGGGCCTAAAGCCTGATTATAGTGAAATAAATATTAGGCTTTAAATGGGCTTTTTTGATATTTTACTTTCACTAAGCAATGACTTTTCTTAATTTTTTTTTTTTATTAATGCCGTTCCCCTTAAATCACACTAATAATAATATCCAATGAGAATCTCGTATGTGGTTTAAGCTCAGTAGGACCGAAATTATAATTATTATATAAAATTTATTTGAATGACTTTAATAAACTATTTGGACCCATGTAGGAAAACGAATCCCATCTCGGATCAATTTCCATTTACTAACTAAAGATTGTTAACTCTAAAGCCGATTTCTAGATGGACATCTGCCCTTTTCTTGATGTATTTATGGTACATTATTTATTTATTTATTTTTTGGTAAAATAGTACATTATATATATACCTATATTTTATTATGCTATATATATATATATAGCTCTAGTCCCTATAAGAGACAAGGTTGCTTGGTTAATAATCAAAGAACATTTTTCCAATGAAAATCGAACACATAAAACGTACTAATTCATTATTCTATTAGGCCCCAAACCCAATAGCCAATTTTGAATAATTATATAGTTGAATAAAATATTTATTCACTCAATCGGGCGACGCGGGCAGTAGAAGAACCGCGTGTTGGATAGTATATTATATAACATTTTTTTTATATGGATTGAATTAAAAGTTTTATTAACAAATTTAGCAACAAAACATGGTCCTTAATTCGCCAAATCCTAAAGAGAATGACCTCCTCGTATTGGCGAGAGATATCTACTTTTGTTCGTATTTCATATTTTTATATTTAGTTTCCCCTTAACAAAACCCGACCTTTAGTATTATTAATGATAAATTTTAAAATATTATTTTATTAATATAAAAATTTTATATTATTTTTACATGTAATTCTATTTAACTATAATTTACGCAATTTGTCATCTCAATTTTTTTTTAATCATATGAAACCTTTATATATATATATATAATTATTTAGCGTCAATCCGTATGATAAAACCTCAAAATTATATGATTAATTAAATTTCCTTAAATTAAACAAAGAAATAGAAAAGATATCACGTGGAAGTTCCTCAGTGGAAACTCCACCGTAACGCCGTGTGCTTGAGTTCCAGAGAAATACTATTTCCTGCTACTGTCAATCCAATGAGTTTTATGCACCGTACACGTGGCAACTTTACCTGCTTATGTAGGACCCATCATTAAGCGGTTCGCTCTCCTTATGTCGACACGCGTCCTGGTCCGACCTGATGAGATATCTATTATCTACTTGGGAATTGTCAATTATACATTTATTTTTGGTTTTTTTGGTGATCTAATTCTTTTTGGCTTTTTTACTTGGGATTTTTCAATTACGAGATATTTATTTTATGGTTAATGCCAAGAAAATCAGAGTCGTACAGGCGTTTTAGAATTATTTTTATGGTCGTTTAAATAATAATCCCATATATTTTATTTAAAATGTATAGCCGATGAAAAATGTTACCAGCAGTAAAGCGTTCGACTGCGCTTTTTTTCCTCTTATTTCAGTGAGAGACATAACTGGAGAAATTAATGTCTGATTTTCTACAATCTATCTATCACTTGTTATCTTTTGCACAAGTACAAAGATAAAAAAAATAATTATTATAAAAAAAAGGAAAAGGAAAAGAAAAAGACGGAGAACCGAAGATAATAAAAAAAAAATCGTGAAAAACTGAATAAAGCTAAAAACCACTTCCAAACAAAGAAAATGGATAAGGCAGCGGTGGAGGACTCGACTCTACAGCGCCTCCAAACGTCGCCGTCTCTCCATACCTCATCTGCCACGTCATGTTCCCTCCGCCGCCGTCATCGCCGTTTACGCTCTCCGGCAACGATAACGTCGACGAAGTCGAGGTCGACGAGGATGTCGAGACAAGGTACATGTCAGCACATCCCTCGAAATCGCCGAACTGCCCATTCATCTCGGTCGGGACAACCCACCCGACGGAATTCTCCGGCGAGGATGACTGCGTCGGAGACATCACACCCTCCTCCGATTTCACCGGCGATATCATCAGCCGCTGCTTCTTTCCCGGGAATTCATGGCCGTCTCCTTCGCCGGCGATCTGGTTTTTCCAATGGTCCTTGTCGGGCGTCATACGCGGCAAGAGGTCGGGGGCGTCGACGACCCTGTAGGGGAAAGCCATCATCTGGCTCGGCCCGCC